CTTTATCCTATGTCTATATTTCTCTCTCTCTTTTGCCTTGTGTGTGTTTTGTCTTACTTTTGTGCACAAACACCTAGTTCTACACCTTCTCTTGGTTGCTGAGGGGCCAGAGGGTTGTTCTTGGTGTTCTTGACTGGTTTTGAGCTTTGAGGACCAGCTGGAGCATCATTCTTGAAGAAGGTCAACAAGGGTAACATTCTTGCTTTTTTTATCCCATTTTTGCATAGCTCTTTTGACTACCTTACAACTATTTTTAGACTTGGTGTATAACATATAAAAGTTTTGTTTTTGCCTACTCTAAATAGTTGGTTAAGAGTGTTTTGAGCTTTGAGGTTGTTTGACCCCTCTTAAGCCTTGTTAGGCTCTATTTTTGTGCATTTTTTGTGAGCTCCGGGACCATTGCATTTGGGCCTCCTCACCACTAAAATCTTGAGGGATTTCAGTGGTGAGGATGGCGCCTTGAGGTCCTAAGAAGGAGAGGACCATCCCCTCTCCTTGTTGTCCTTGAAAAGGGCCGTTTTAGCCTATTGAAGGAGCATCTAGTTTAGGTCCATGTTGATCATGCCTTAACTGATTTTTGTGCTTATTATGTCATAATATAGTTCTGTTTTTAGTTAGTTTAGGTACACCATGCTTGTTTAGCATACATGCGTTGTAATGCCATGTTTTGGCCTTAACATGCTTTAAGTATTGACCCTTGTTCTAGCATGATTTTGGCCAAGCTTTGTGAAGTTTTTGTATATGTTTTAGTGTGCTTTAGCTCTATTTTCAGTTGCTTTGGTCATGCTTAACTATTTTGTATAGTCTCTTTGCATTTTAGCTTGTAGGCCTTGAATGTGTGATGTCATGAGCATACTTTGCTTGCTTTAATTGGTTGGTTTGGCACCTCCATTTTATGCAATTTCAGAGTTTGGTATGTTTGCCATATGTCCATGATCATCTCTTTTAAGTGTGCTTAAAAGTTGCCTTTTGATGCTTAGGAATTGGACCATGTATGCATGCATGCTTGTATGTGCATTTGGCCCCATCTCCATAGTTTATGGCCACTATTTTAGGCTTGTTTGAGGGCTGCCTAAATTAGTTTAAGTCCATCCTTCATATGTTATAGCATGCTTGCCTTGTGCATTGTTGCATACTTGGCCTATTACATGTTATTGCTTGTTTGAAATCATGATGCATTTGGCATGTATTTCATTGGTTAAGTTGCTTTGCATTGTTCCTATGCTTAGTCCACCTTACATGTTGTTACATGTTTGCCACTAGCATAGTTGTCACATGCCTTGCATGCTCATTTTGCATCTTTAGCCTCCATGTCTAGGTTGCATTCCATTTGCATGCACGTTTCACCTTGTGAGTTGAGAATGATAGAGGTAGAGCCCCTTTGTTTGATTATGTGCATTGCATTCCATATCAAAACGCATACTTGGTTTCTTGGGCCATCACGCATTAAAATGCGCGATTGGTGGTCCGAGAATCGAGACCCATCCTCCTTTGAGTCATGAATATGTGCATGCATCGCTTGAAATGCATTGCCATGCTATGTTTTGCCCTCTGCTGCTATCAAAAACAGATTCTGTAGGAAGCTTTGGCCGGCCGGCCATCTCCAGTGCCGACCGGCCATTCATCAATGGCCGATAGCTTGAACAAGTGGCTGGTGATCATTCCTTTTGACCGGTGACCAATTCCATTAGCCGGTGGTGTTCCACAGGACTCAGAGAAGCAACCCTGGGACTTATGCAGTTTTCAGAGGAGGATAACAGTCAAAGCAGAGGCAACTTGTGCATGGCAGTGGCTTTCTGAGCGGGGCCGAACATGCATTGCATTGGGCCCTCTTTCCGAGGCTGTTTACTGTTTTATTAGATTAATTAATTTGATAACTAGTTTAATTGGTCTGTAATATTTAATTAGCTTGTAGGTTAGTTAATTGTATTATTCTTTCGGTCCCTCCGAGCGAAGGCAAATTTGTAATAAGTGTGGGTGCGTGTGTGTATGTCTTCCAACCCCCACTTCTTTCTCTCTTTTACTTACTTGCTTTGATGGTTAGTATTAGGGCATATTTAATTTAGCATACCTCATGCTATGCATGCGTGCATCATTCATCAGTATTGCATACACCGGGCTTGGCGCATCATGCTAATTGCATAATTATTTCAAATCCAACTTGAATACATGCTATTTATGCATTCCACGTGCCATCCTAGGATTAGCTGAGCCTATCCTAATTGCATTCTGTGTGTGTCGCATTAGGCACTTAACATGGACTTGGATCATACATTGATTGCTAACGAGTTCTTTATTTTGGCTTGGAGTACACTGTAAGTGTTTTGTGCTTTAGCATCTCGCATGAGTGTGAATGTTAAACATGAAAGCATACTTACCATGAGGCTACCTGCTTATATGATATAACTGCCCGAGTGCCTGTGGATGGAGGTTGAATTACCTAAATTGGAATAATGCACTAAAACTGTGAGTTTTAAGCCCACTTGAGGGTGGCAAAACCTGCATTTTAGCCTACTTGCGAGTAGCAAACCATTTTCAAAACAAACATGCAATGTTTTGTTCCAATTTAGGCGATTTGGTCTATACTTGTTTGCTGTGCGCATAACATAGTAATTCTAGGCTAATAACCGGAATAGGAACACATAATGCTTTCAAAACAAGATATCACGGTTAGTAGAGGCCGATCTTTGATCGGGCGAGAGGGAGTGCTCACAGCTGACCTTCCCCAATCGTACCCAAGTTCCCAAACCGAGGCAACTTTGGTGATGACGGACATGTGGGCTTTGGCACCGAGTCAGGGTTTCCTAAATTTCTCAAAATAAAATATTTAGGTGGCGACTCTGTATCTGGCAAAGCAATCCATGTTTGGCACCTCTTTTCTAAAAATTTATTTTTCACAACGATTTGCCGGATTTAGACTTTTTGGTTCAGATTAAGAACCGTGACAATTTGAGAGTCCTGAACTGTAGTAGACCCACAAATGAACAGAACGGGACTCATCCTCCCGGGGCGTTCGGGGACGTCTACACCTAGTTAGGGCTAAAAAGGTATAAAAGATAAAATAGGCTAAATAATCTAATAAGATAAAATATTACATTCAAATTATGATCGTTTTATTTTTTTCTCACAAAAGTCAAAAAAAAAAAATAATAATAACAACAACTCAAACGAACTTTTTAATCCTAATCTAAAAAAGTCTAAATTCAAAAAAAAACAACTAAAAAAATTGTTACCAAATGACAACTAAGTAAATCTTAGATGGCGTATTTTGTAATTTATCTAAATTATATTTTGAAAAATATTTTGAAAAAAACTCTCCTAATTTGATCTATAATTATATGACATGATAAATGTCAACTTTTAATATATCATATAAGAATCCATTATCTCATCACATCATTATAAATAAATTTAAATATCTAAATTATGGTTCTTCGGCATTTTACGGTATGAATAAAGATTGATTCTTATTTTGAAATTTTAAAGAGAATTTTAGTGATGTGGTAAAGAGTGAAGTCCACATGTGATATGATATGTGTGTCTATATTTTTATTTTTTTGTTTATTTATTTATTTATTTTTTTCTCTTAACACATCATTAAAGCTCTTTTTAGAGTTTTCAAATTAAAACTCTCTATCATTATTATTTACAGTATATTTATTAGAGATTTGACAATCTACTCAAACAAAGCGCTTATTTGATGAAATGAAATTTTTGGGGGAAATATTATTAAAGTGAAAAATAAGAAAAATATTTTCAAATTAATAAAAAAAACTTTGCAAACATTGAAAATAAAGGGACAATTACACAAAAAAAAAAAATCCCCAGGAGCCGTTTAACAAAATAAACATTGAATTTTTAATTTTATTAATTTAAATTTAAATTTTTGATTTAAATCATTCATTTACTTTTGTTAAGTAAAATTAATAGAAAAAAAATATTTTAATCATTAAACTCAATATAAACATATCTAAAATATTTTAAAATTCTATTTTTCAGTCGATTTTATTTGATAAAAATAACTAAGGTGGTGTTTGGTTTTCCTTTTGGGCTAAATAAGTACAAAAATGACAAAAAAAAAATCAAAAAATCACAAAATCACAAAATAAGCAAAAAGACAAAAAAAAAAATATACCATTGCAAAGTCAAAAAGTCAAAAAAACCAAACAAGAATACCAAACGAATAAAAAAATCACAGGTTAAAAAAATCAAAAAACCAACTAAAAAAGTCATTGCCAAACGAAGGTTAAATGATTTAGCCTCCGTTTGGGAAGTGGGTTGGCTTTTTGGCTTTTTGGCTTTTTTGGCTATTTTAGCCTGGGCTAAAAAGCTTGGTTTGGGAAGGACTTTTTGGCTTTTTGGCTTTTTGGCTTTTTTTTGTGAGAGAAGAGTGTAATGATTATGGGTTGGATGTGATGTTTTGTTTGTTGTGGCTAAAATAGCCTGTTTTGTCTTTTGTGGCTATTTTAACCCCAACCCACTTGCCAAACACCACCTTAGATTGAAAATTTTAAGATTTAAATTGATAAAATTAAACGTTCACGGTTTATTTTATAATAAGGGTCAAATTTTAATTTTTTTTGTTGTAATTTTCCAAAATTAATTGTATAAATTTTTCCATAAAAATGATTATATTTTTAAAATTAGCAGTGAAATGTTATCTTTCCACACATTTTATAAGTTAGTAGTCAATAAAATAAAAGTTAAAAACTCTTCCACGTAATAATTATTTTTATATTATAAAAATAAATTATATCAAACATAGATACAATTTTCAAAAATTAACAAAAAGAATTTCAGTTTGCGATCGAACTTATAAGTAGTTCGATTAATTGCATCGAACAACCCTAATGCCCGTTTGCGATCTCCTCCTAAATTTAAAAAATATGAAAAAAATTTAGAAGAATTTCAGTTTTAACAAAACATGTTAATAACTATTTTCATTTAAAAATAAATTATTTACAATCTCCAGCAACAACATCTAACCATTTCAACCCAACTAAAATCAAGCTCAAAATCCTAACAAATCAACCTTTTAATGTACACCAAAATTAAAAATCAAAATTACACTCAAAATCCTAACAAATTAAAAAAAAAATCAAAAATTAAAATTACCTCTTCCCCCCTCTCTCTCTCTCTCTCCAATGGCTAACTACCATTTCTCCCTCCGGCTAGAGGCACCGGAGAACCACCGCAACCAGTTTCAACATCTCCATCGCCACCGGACGAGAACCCACTTACCTTCTCAAAATTCGACGAAGAAGGATACGAATGAACAAAATCCTCAAACTCAAACCCACCACCAACACCACCACCACCACCCTTCTCCTCCGGCGGCGCCACCACCTCCGGCAACCCCACCTCTCCTTCCAAATACCTCACCACCTGCCTCATACTCGGCCTCTTCACCTGAACATTATTCGAACACATCAACCCAAGTTTCAACACCACCACAACCTCAATTTCATCAAACTCACCTCCCAATCTCGGATCCACCACCTCCAAAATCGACCCCCCTTTCCAACTCTCCCACACCCAATCCACCAATATCAACTGCTCCGGCAAAGCTTTCGGCTCGATCGGTCTTCTTCCACACACAACCTCAAGCAACAAAGCCCCAAACGCGAACACGTCGGAGCTCGTAGTCGGCTTACCAGTCCGAGTCAACTCCGGAGCTAGATAACCCAATGTTCCCACCACTCTTGTCGTACTTGGGTTCGAACCATGCTCGTATAGCTTTGCTAATCCGAAATCGCCGAGTCGCCCATTGAGTTCGGTGTCTAACAATACATTACCGGCTTTAATGTCTCGGTGAATCACAGTCTGTTCCCAACCTTCGTGCAAGTAAAGCAAACCCGAAGCTACTCCTTTGATGATCTTGAATCTCTGTTCCCAACTCAAAATCGTTGTGGGTTGGTCGAAAATGTACTTGTCTAAGCTTCCATTGGGCATGAAATCGTAGACGAGTAATAGATCTCCTCGCCGGCGACACCAACCCAGTAACTGAACCAAGTTCCGATGACGAAGCCGACCAATACTCGCGATTTCTGACACGAATTCGCGCAAACCCTGCTTCGATTCGTGTGAAATTCGCTTCACCGCGACTTGGGTATTCGAATTCGAAAGAGTTCCTTTGTATACTCTGCCGAATCCACCGAACCCAAGTAGCTGTTTGTCTTTGAACCCTCTCGTCGCTTTCTTGAGCTCTTTGTATGAGAATCGATGAGGACCAATATCGAGCTCCCAAGCTTCGATTATGTCTGCGTTCTTGATCTTCCTGACGATGTAAAAGGCCAGTCCAATCGCGAAGACGATGACTATAACAACAGATACAGAGACGCCTAAGATTAAAGCCGTGTAGCTCTGTTTGGGTTCAGGCAGAGAGGGTAGAGAAGATAAATCGAGAGAATGAGCTTGTCCACTCATGTTGAAGCTCCAACCTTGTATATAATGATAGCTCGCGAGCAGACCTGTTGAAGCAGAGAAGCCCACATACATGGTGTCTTCGAAAATTGGCGACAGATCGATATGAAATGTCAAAATTGAAGAACTGGGTTTTGTCGAAGAGAGTGAAAGAGAGACATTCAATTCGTTTTTGGCAGAATCGTAGTCGATAAATGCCTGAATCGTGTTCCCACTCTTGAGATTGATTGATTGCATTGTCGAATTGCCTTGTACATAATACCCAGCGCTCACCGAATCATTGGAGATCAGGCCATTGATATCGATGCCAACGTGATTGTCATTGATGTCTTTGAATTCGAAGTCTTGGACTGTATCGAATTCGACAGCGAACAAATGGTTTGAGGAATTTCCAGTGTTGTTGGCATTGAGAAGACCCAAATACTGGCTCGGAGGTGGACGAAATCCCCCATGAAGCTCCTTGGTCGGCGAAATCGTGAAGGCCAAGCCATGGCCGCCGAGCTTTTTGTACTCTGGAACGATTGCGAAAGCGAAGGCTGTAGAGAAAGAGAGAGCTTTACCAGTTGTGGAGTTCTTGAATCGGATCGGAGTTGGGTAAAAGGCGTGGCCGATCAATCGAAGTGTGTCGTTGGTGAGTTGGAGGAGACCATTGTTGTGGATCTCTGCAACACCGTTTAGGCTTATGTTGTTGTTGTTGATAAAACCCTTGAAGCCATTGTAGACTAAGCCATTGTTGGGCTGAGAAAGAACTGGGTTTGTTGAGAGGAAGAGAAAGAGCAAGAGCAAGAGAAAGAGAAAGATTGATTCCGCCATGAAAGAGAGGACAGAGCTCAGAATATGTTAAGATGCGATATGATCTAGTATGTTCCTGAGAGTGATTGTGGAGATGCTTTGATGTTTGGTTTTTGTTACATTTTGTTTGACTGGCTGGGAGGAATATAGAGAGAGAGAGAGAGAGAGAGAGAGAAAAAGCTGATGATGGGTTGTGTTGTGAGAGGTATTGTTAAATTTGAGATGGTTCTGTTAATTAAATATATAATAAAATAGATTTTTTTTTTTTTTTAAACTTTTTGATATAAGTTGTAAATTTTTTATTTTTTTAAATACCTTTTTAACCAAAACACCGTGCCAAATGAGACCTTATGAAGGTTGTCCCACTGAGTAGTGACAAAATTCGTAGTATTTATTTATTTCGGCAGTGATTCATCCCCCAAAAAGGGGAACCCGAATCCTCCGAAATGCCATTTCAAGTAAAAAAAAATAAAAAAAAAAAAAGAAAAAAAGAAAAGAAAAAGAAAATAGTTTCCAAAAAAGGAAATTAGGGGAATTAGGGGGAGGAATTTTAGGGCTACCAAGCTTTATCCTATTTATTTTTATGGTTGGTAATGCAGCTGGGTGTGTCTTCATTGATAGTGGTTAACACATGGATGGGTACGCTAAGAAAACAAAAGAAAAAAAAGACTTATGGGCTGAATTATCAAAACATGATTCACTTTGAAATGCATACCCTTTCAAACCGTTTCAAAACCATCTGCTGGTTTTGGAAAAACTATGGGCTGAATTGTTTAATTTTTCTTTTTCTTTTTGTTTTAACAAATCCATGCAAATGAGCGACGACAATGGTAACAACAAATGAATATGAATTTGCTTGTGCATGATTGAGCTTGCTTATTACTATGATACTCGTTGCACTCACCTCTTTTTATTGATATAATCCTTATAATTTGTACTTTGTGTTTCATCATTGAATTTATATTTTTATTTTTTGCTAATAAAAAAATGAATATAAATAGTTATTGGTATAGGCCATAGGTGCCTTTTCTTTTCTTTTTTCAAATAAACATACATAATAATAAAATATTACATCTAATTTTATGTTTACCTCATTTTCTCTCTTTTGAAGACAAAGGAGCAAGTCTCGTATACATTTATTAATGAAAAATATTATATACATCAATTGTTTATCGCCGTTCTGTATCACCTCCTACATCGATACTTTTTTTTTTTTTACAATTAATTATTAAGCAATTAATGAAACACGTAATATATTGTTATGTAATCTAGACATATAAAAGTGTTAACAAAATAAATAAATGGTATATAGCAGCCCTCTTATTAATGTGGATCTTATGTCTAGGAATAGAAAATGGATTATGTATAACATATCAAGGGAAATTAAATAAACAAAATGACTTAATAAACTAAAAAGTTGACATCTTAATAGGACATTCCAGCTCTCGTACATAACCAAAGGTTCAAATAATATTTAATAAAAACTTAAGATTATCCAAATACAACATCAAATGAAATTATAAAGTCCTTAATAGCTATTATATAAAATAATATAATTTATTCGGCTCTATTTGGGGTTTCAGGTCAGCCAAGGCTCTACGTTAGCGTCGACTCCATTTCAGCTTCAATTATTTTCTCGCCAAGACCTGGCATAAAACGCCAGGGCAACAAAAATATATGCCATGAGTTTTGCAACACAGTAAGAAAACATAACCAACCTACCATTCTTTTTAAGAGAGAAATAACGAGATTATAAACACGAGATAATAATATAATTGTAAACATGAATTACAACCATTAAAATAATTTCAATAATTTTAATAAATTAGGTGACACTCGAAATCTCACCAAAGAGATTAAACTTACCAACTACTAAGCATGGCAACGGTTAATTTGAAACCCTCCCTTGGTCAAATATTTAAGTGTTACCAACCGTAACTACCAGGGATGCCTACGTCCGGAGTTATATACCCAAGTAGTAGCATCCGTGTTCTGCCCAAAGGAAACGGTCTACCAAGGGTACGTAACCTCCCTGTGTGCCACCGGCACATCCACCCTTATTCCAAAACCAAATACCGAAAAGGGTTCAAATAAGTCCCGTGCCATCTTAGAGTTTTGCAACACAATTTACGTGAAAATTCTCAAAACCAGGGCTCACCCTGAACAACCGGTGTTAACCGTCAATCCCTTGGTTTCATACACTCTTTAAAACCAAGACTCACTCTAAAAACTGATATTAACCGTCAATTGTTAACTTTGTATATGCCTTTAATCCTTTCAGTTAATTTTGATATTAATCACAAATAATTCTAATTTTTAATCACAAATGATGTTATACCAACTCATTAAAATTCCCAACATAAAATATTACACATGTCACACAATAATAAATAAATGTACAACATTTAAATAAACAATTTATTTAAACCATGGTATGAAATAATAATTTGGATACAAAGAAAATAAACCAAAGTCATACACGTGCATGGATTTTTAAATTTACAAGATTAGACTACCATAATATTAACTAAACCACAATACACTCATACATGGATTACTAATTTACTATATTTGATGGATTGGACCAACACAATAACTGATTTTTATCCAAATAAATAATTAAAGTGATGATCTTAAACCTGTCTAGAAATTTTCAGGTTATACCTTAGGTAATAAAAATTATAAATAAATTATTTATACAGTTCTAAAATTCGCGGAAATGTACAGAATATTCAATAAATATGTTTGGGTCATTTTTCAGAAATAAATTCCCAAAAATAAGTTATAAATAATTCTGTAAAATTCTCAGAAATTTTATGACACAGATTTATCACATTTTCTTAAATTAATTTCATACTTAAATTTATAAATCAGATCCATAATCTAAAATTTTAGTATGAAATTAGACTTCTCAAATTTCATATTTTAGTTAGAAATTACCAGATTTGGCTTAATATATAATTTTTAATAAGTTTTTAAACATATAGTAAAATCGGTCTTACAGTAGCAGATATAATTATAAATTTGTATAAATTCGTACCAAGCTCAATAATTGTTGAAAAAAATTCCTGGATGAATTAGACATCATTATCAACAACTTTGTAGAAGAAATCATTTCAAAATTTTGAGCATAAAATTGTCTAAAAATTCGTACAAGTTTCTGGCAGATTGAAGAGTTATATAATTAAACCAAATAAAATCTGTAATCATCTCTTTAATGGCACAAACTACACATGCAAGTCTAATTTCAGGATTATATCATGATTTTAAGGCTACTAATAAAGAAATGACCTTCAAATATTTAACATACCAATCACAAATTTACATACAACTATAAACAAAATTTTATCTAAAGTTTTAGCTATGTTAACATATGAACACAAATCTAAAAATTTAACAATTAAAAAGAATGAGACGGTTATGAGAGTTTTCTTACTATGTTAGGTTGCTAACGATTTATCGTCCGAATTTGATTTATGATTCTAATCGTAAGATATGATCGTCCTGGCTCGATGATCGTCTTGCTGAAATTTCATATCAATGGGACGCGATCTCACCGTTGATCTGCCATTGGATTCTCTTAGAACTTTTAGTTGTTGATCATCATCTTAGGCCTTGTTTGGGGACTTACTTTTTTAGTCAATTAGCCAAAAAGTTACTAAATTAGCCAAAAAGCCAACAACTCATACCAAAAAGTCAAAGATTCTCTTTTCTCTCTACTTTTTGCACATCTTTTCGTAATTAACTAAAAAGTCATCCCAAACATACAAGTTTTTTTTACCTACCTTTTTAGCCAAATAGTCAAAAAGTTACTAAATTAGCCTGTTCCCAAACGAGACCTTAGACTCAGAATTTGCAAGATCTAACCCCAAAAATGGATTCTACACATCGAAAAACCTAAGGGTGGTCATCCCCAAAGTCATAGGACCACTCGATTAACCTAAAG